AAGTGCTGTATAGAAAAGATAAATTGTAATAAATAATAATAGGAGTTATAATAGTGTCCAATTATTACATAAATTAATTAGTACGTTATAAATAAATTATAAATAACCTATTTTTAAATTAAAGAATCGTTACAGTACGTTCTTTTTTAACGGTGCTTGATGATCTGCAGCAAATTACAAATTTTCTCTCTTCTCCCTTCAAGCATTTGCTCGATGGCATATGTACAGAGCTCTTGTCTTGATAATTGAAGACCGTTATTAGTCGTTTTTTTTTTTGACGTCATAAGGTTTTTTACACCAAGAATAATAAATCCTTAAGTCCAAGTTCAACGCGTTGTCAATGACAAGTGATCACAAAAAATACAGCTCCGAACGATAATATTTTCAGAAATTGTTTTTAAAAATGGGTTCAGAATAAGGTAAAGAATGGTGGAAAGGCTATAATGTGTTTTACTTTTAATACATAATATTTTTAATAAGTGATATTTAACAAATAATTAAAAATTATGGACTTTCCACCATTTTTTTATAGTATATAAAAGTTAAAACTCTTTTATTTTTGCCCTAATTATTTTAGCAAACTCGAGTTAAAATTTAAAAATCTACTGTCAGTGAGGTGGCGTCAATTTGCAACCGTGCTAATTCGAGACATACATTTTATTAAACCCATTGTGTTACGTATTTGTTTACATTAAGAGATAGAAATTTAAAGTGGTCTTCGAATGAAAAATCGTTTTCTAACCTAAGACAAAAGTTGAGTTAAGAAGAAAGCTTTATTATTTTGCATTAGAATTAGGATTATTGCTACGTACAATCTCACAATTTACAACTCTGACAGTCAATCAAACACTGATACCGCATCGAGGCATTCTGTCGCTCTACCAACTTGGGCCACGACAGCTTCTACATTTCACTTATTGTCACTTTTTATCTACGTTGTGCTATGGGTGCTCCGCACCCAGTTTAAAACAGCTCTGGGTGCTTGTACACCCCGAGCCCCGGGGATTCGGCGCCTATGGTCCAGGAAACGAGAAGGTATAGAAGGAAATGTTTGGAACACAATTTTTGACTTCGTAACTTTGTATGGACTAGTTAGGAGGTGAAAATATCAAAAGTCCCCGCCCGTATCCTTTAAACCGAGGGGGAAAGGGAGCCTGAAGGTCCCATTTTTCGGAAACTATGCATTCTAGCGACATGACCACTCAATATAAAATGAATTTTCTACAAGTTTTACTCACTTAAATTTTTCGATATCTTCTATATTTTCCGATATATCAGCTCTTGAAAGTCTGTTATTTTGGAAAAAAACATTTTTGTCTCTAGTCCATGTAACGTGATCTCTAGTTATTCAATATACTTTTTAATGTGTTTGAGCTCAATTGATTGGGCGTGGGTTTGGTTATTAAATAACTCGAATAACTTTGAAAAAGAAGTTGAGAACCACTATATTTAAAGCTTACTTAAATTCAAATTTAAGATGATTTATTAAATAAAACTTATCTTTAGGTAAATGGAGGTAGTATCAGGAATGTTTTATCGCATAGTATATCTTCAGGCAACTTCTTCAAAGGGATTCGGGATCCTTATTCGTAATTCTGCAACGTAAATGATCTCGTGATATTTGGTATTCTAACTTAAACTCAAACCTGTCTAGATCTTCTAGAGATGAATCAAACCATGGTCTTCAGATTGTACCAAACCCAAAACAAACTTCTAGGTATAAAAACCATAAAACATATTGATAGGAATTCAAAACCGTCCAGATATAGCCATGCTAAAAAAGGATTAAAATGATATCATAGGAAAAAGGGAAATTGAATAGGATTTAGATAAAAACAATTTAAAACTATTAAATGAATAATTTCACAGGGATTAAAATTGATATGAAAAGGAAAAATCTTATTTAATAAATTTAAACATAGTAAAGAATAATATCTTATTCCAAAAAAATAATATATAATCATGTATTGATAGGATTTTAGGTTATATTCGGAACTTTAATAAAGAAATACTTGTACAAAATATATATTTTCAACAATATATCATTATTAAAACTTACCTTATAAAATCAGACGGCCAATAAGAATATTAAAAATCATCTAATACATAGGATGACCTAGATATATTGTAATTTAAATCAAGTTGATTCGTTAACATCCAAGTCAAAAATATTTCTCACAATACGAATTAAGGAAGAAGAAAACGACAAATGACATTTAAGAGGTGAAAGGTGGTTGTGTAGTTTTTATTTGATTTTTTTTTTATTTTCTTTACTGCTTCCATATTCTCTCCTTTTATTGCAACTAGCTAGGGTGATACAAGAGGTGAAACTATCAATGGATTACTTTTCAAGAGTGTTGCCCGCCGATATCTACAGTAATCAAAGGTCACTGCAACAAAAGGTCCTTTACAAATCATTCCACTCCCAATACCACTGCTAAACCAATTACCGTAGAAGAAAATTAAAAATTGCAAAAAAAAAATTAATAAATAAACAATGATTATACACCATCATACAATGAATAACACAAGATATCGCTAAAAAAAAAATGTTAACAGTGTATGAAGAAATAAGAAAATATATACTTCCTATTAGATTAGTATATAAAGAAAAGAAAATTAGTAAATCAACATTATATAGTATATGCATGTTCGTACTTATTTATATATATACAAATTTGAACCACAAAAAATTGCAATCATGCATCGGTAAAATAAAGTTCAAATTAAAGTTAAATCATTAAACTAAAAAAATTGTACTGGCATAAACCATACATATATAAGATAAAGGGAAGGTAGAGAATACTAAATACTCAGATTACTAAGTATTCATGTGTAACAAAAAAAAAAGTAAAACAAACTGAAAATTTTAATACACAAAATAAAAAGTCTTGAGACACATATTTCGTTATTTAGTGATGTTCCTAAAATAGGAAGGAGTTGACAAATTTACAAACTAAGACTTAATACTAAAAAAATTTTTTGAAAACAAATAAAATTTTTAGTGTAGCCCTTAAAGACTAAAGAATTACAACTTAAACTAGAAAGATTTACTACTTTAGCTTATAAAAAAAAAATTGAATAAAATGAAAAAATTGATTTTAAATAAAAATCTGTACTCTTAAACCATGCAAATGTCACAATCAGGGAAAGATAAGATAAAGGTAAATAAAGGTAGGTAAGGTAATGTAAGGTAAACTAGAAAGAATGATTATTGAACTATCATAACTAAGTAAAGGTGAACCATTTTAAATTAAAGATAAATATCTTGATATTCAAAACACATAGTAGATTATGTACTAAAGGTACAAATAATATTATTAAACGATAAATAACACATTCACCTAACTAGTGAATAAAGATATATCGTCGGCTTAGAGTGGAAATGTGCTAACTCCGATTTTTCAAAGTTTACAGGAGGATAAAAAACCTTCCTAAATGGTTTATAAACAAATTTAAAAGAAACTAAAAATTCTATTGGGTCCTTTTAAGTCCATGTATTATTTCATAATATAAAATGACAATTTATATTATGTGGTTTTAGCAATATCTAAATTTTTTGGAGTTGGCTGCTTTTCTAGAAATTATTTCTAAAATCTTAGTTGTAGTTACCACATTTTTTTCGATAAAATAAATTGTAGATAAATAGGTTTTTTTATTTATTTAAACTAACGAATTTTAGGAAATGTTTGCACAACATAAGGAAACTCTCTTTATTGAATTTAAATAATTTCACAAACTGAAGCTTTATGCAAATTAAAGTTTTCAAATAATGAACAAAATAAAACCGTGAAATGAAGGGAACAATATAAAAATATTTGCATTATAATAACAAAATATTTCAATGGACATCACACCGTAGCTATTTTCAGCCTTAATCATGAGGCAAATCGTCATAATTAATACATGTTGTAATCTATAGGCAACGTAGATTTTAATTGTTGAAGATCTTCAAACTTCCTTGCTTTTAAATTTCTTCTTTTCTGGTGAAGTTGCGATAATTGTCTCCACTGCAAAGCCACTACAGTTGTATCTCTTGTTTGAGATAGAATTTTCCATTCATCGGAGAATCTCAGTTTAAAAAATATTTCTCCCTTCGGGGTGTACCTTAAAGCACGAATATCTGTTATTGTTGCTTCTCCCTTACCTCGACCAGGGCGAATACTATAATAAAATTGAACATTGTAAAACTCTTGAAAAAAATCGTAATTTAAGTTACATCATAAGGACGGGGTTTCTTTCTTGCTGCTCTGCATATTTCTACATAATCGGCTGGAATATTATTAATTTTATTTTTCAATGCACGTTCGATAGCCGAATGAATACAATTGCTTCCATTTGCGTATGACCGGGTTCAAGGAATTTTTGCTCGATTGTTATTTTATGTCGGATAGCTGAATTTATTAAAGCGTCAGACATAACAGAGTTTTGGCTTTGGTATGTGCATCCGTCAGTATAAACAATTATTTTAATGGGATCTTCAGTTTGAAAGTTAGATAACACTTTCTTTTCAATTAAATGTAACCAGATACTGGCAAACTCTTCTGAATTTACTCCTCCTTCCACCTTATTCCATAAATACCAATAGCCCTTCTTGTTATTCAAATTATAAAATGCGAGATTGTGGACTTGTAGCTTGGTCTTGTAATACAAGCTACAGATTTGCAGTTTTGGAGAAATCAACGCCGCTTGAAGGTCGACTGTGAATACATTTTTTTCTTCTTCTTTATCTTTTGTTTTTTCCGCTCTGGCATTTCTTTTTTGTTTGATGTATTGCATACTTTTCCGCCGATATCTGATTAACACCATAACTTGCACATTTCGCGCACTAATCCTTTTATGAAGAAAATAAGCTGAGACTCTTAGGGTCAAATATTTCATAATAAACTGCAATTGAGAGGGTCCGTACATTAAGATTTGCACACCAATCCTCAACATAAAAGTCGTATAGCATTTTCTTAAACGACCATTTTGGCAAAAGATATTTCTTTGCACTTGTGGCACGACGTTAAATGAAAAAACTTGGCTATGGTTGCAACTATAAAGTTCGCATCCCCCTTTAGAAATCTCACCTTTACAATCAACAGCTGGTGTGACTAATATTGGAATTTTTGGAATGTATGGAATATTAGGAATGTTAGACGTTAGGAATGATTGAAATGCGTAAAATAAGTCGTATAAGAAATGTATGGGCGGATTTTAAGAACATTGATATTAAACTAATTAGGATGCACCCAAAATTCCGAAAAGCAATAGGGTTCTAAGTTAAAAGCAATTATTCAAGAAAATCAAAACCGCAAGCCAATCAGAACTTTTGTTCTAGAGTTACCGCGCCGGCAAACATACACACAGACGACCCGACGACATTTTTTTTTTATTTTCGGACTCAAAATGATCGGAAACGTAAAAAACAGTTTAAAAATGGGATAAGAAAATTTTTTCGTCTGCACGAATGCAATACTGAGGCCCCATAGGAAGGGCTTTAGTAATTACAAACTAAGATATTATCCTTAAATAATAAAGTCGTTTTTTCTTAGACTCAGCATTATTCCTCAACATTATGACAACTCTCGATTTTACGGTCAGCGGCGTACATAGCCGTTCATAATACCATCAAACAAAATTAACCGTTTAATTATTTGAAACCTATTTTTTATAAATATCGTTTACATTTGAATAAAAAATAGCAACACATATTTGGAAAATAAAATTTTATGTTTAATTGGATTTTTATTTAAATATATCCTTTACAAAATATTTAAAAAACACAAATATCCAACGTTCGTTTATACTGGATTCAAACATGCTTCGAACAAAGCTTGTGTTAATGGCGCCCGTTACTCATCTTATTTTCATTTGTTTATCTGAGATTGAATTAGTCAAAACAGTGTTATATGATATGGGAATAAGGAATAAAAATTCCGTATAATTTATTAATAATTTATCTAAAAGCTTTTGTTTTTAATTACTTTTGAACCAAGTAATTGTGACAATTCTTTAGAAAAATGGATATTTATATTCTTGTGTTTAAAACGCAAATTCATGCAAAATAATTATACATCAACAAATTATTATTATTACGAGATGGCTACAAAATATAAAAATGACATAGATTCAGATATCCCGTTCTTGGCATAAATTGTTTATAAATATTAAAATGTATGTATGACCTCTTCCATCACCTCTTCCAAAAAATTAAAAAAATGTTGATAAATATGATAATGTTTTGATTATGAACTTATTATAAATTTGGTGAAAAACAGGTTTTATTGATAGTTTCTTCTTACTTTCAAGATGCTGCAAGTGGAATATTTGGTTTTGTTTTTTGCCTTGTTGCAATATACAACTTGTGAAGGTAAATAAACTCTTGTTAATGTATAATTTTTGTTGCTTTCAGTTTACTTTATCTTGGGATCCCGATCTCTTTAATTTGATTAATTTATTTCATTCTATGTCCTTCCTCTTTGCATTTTTCTTGATTTCCATTACGATTAGCGATATCTGTCTAGTTTTACTTTTAGTAGTTTAATTATTGTTTCTCTTTGATTACTTCTTATACTTCATAGTTACCCAGCTATTTTTCCTAAATATATTTTTTCTGGACTTTTTTTTTTGGTAATACATAGTTTTCACTGTTCTAGCTCTTAAAGAATAAATAAATAAATAAATAATTATGATGGTGTTACTAAACTAAATGATTTACAAATAGCTCGCGAATTTCCATTACAAAATCTATAAATATAAACAAAGTCGGCATATTCTTTCAAAAACAGCAGAGGCATGTTGCAAATTTTAATTTATCACAAACAGAAAACGAATTTGACAAGTCGCTGGCTCAATATTACATGATTCTAGGTAACACAATGCTAATAATAAGAAAAACTAGTTCTAAATATTTTTATTTAGAATTGAAAATATGGTAATATTTTTTTAATAAATTTTGGTTCTCCTTCATTTTGTTGGGTGTAAAAAGAAAATTGACAAAGAAAAAAGAATAATTATTTACAAAAAAATATATATGTTTCGATAAAAAAAACAACATACAACTTTGTTTTCTTAATAAAAAAATATATTTTTACAAAATGTGTCATATAACCTTGAAACACTAACAAAATATATTAAAAAAAAAGTAAAAAATATTATTCCTTAATTAAAGTTTTCATACCCATAAAAAAAGTAAATGTATTTTTAACTTACTAAAAACAAAATATAAAAAAGATAAAAAAAATTATGTTTCAATATTTTAACATACAACTTTGTTGTCCGGTCAATTAATACTACCTATTAAAAAGGGTCCTTTGTATAAACATATACCTTTGGAATACCAAATATGTAACGAAAATTACATACAACCTTGTATTTCTTCAATTTGTATTCGTTATAATAGTGATAATTATATCAAACCAGATTCTATGTGTAGCCCAGATGACATAGTTTCTTGTAAGAGTACTAAGCCAATATTTTTAAATTTATGACATACACCCTTATAATACTGGACCAGCGAAGTGTAGGAGTTACTAGTTAGCTGACCTTTTATCTTCTGATCATTGAGACTTGTAGCTTGGTAACCATGGAAAATTAGATATTTGATTATAGGACATTTTATACTTTAAATGAACTCAATATTATTATATTTAAGATTGTATTTTACGTCATGCAATTCTCTGTATATTTTATAAAATTTTGATAGTTATATTTGATCAATATATCATACGAAAGATATTTAAAATGTTTTTAATTTTGACAAAAAACTGTTATTAATATAATTAAATTTATATTTTAAAGATCTTCTAAAAAAATGCCACTTTGTATAAATCAAATAAGGAACTCTAAATCCTTAAATTAATTTCCTTGTTTTCTCTCAAGTTTCGAAACGTGTATATTTTTTTAAAGAAATCCAGAGATGTTCCTATTAAAATCACTTATCAGAGAGAGGTCAGTACAGAAAAATGCTGCAGTTACAAGCAGCCCAGACAACATGCAGAGACACTACCGTTCTAAAGGTACTCGTTCGATAGTTGCTGCAGCGACAGGCTGCAGCTGCAAGGCGGCCGAGGCAAGAGGCAAGCGACCGAGACAGAGCAGGAGACACTTGGAGGACTCGTTCGTAGCATGCGACAGAATGACAGATCAGTACTTATTTTACTGTTGAGAAAGGTGCATCTAGAATGTCTGCCGAGAATAAAATTATTAAACAAATTTTATTAGAGGAAGAGGAAGATCAGGATTTAATATTGTACTATTTATACAAGAAAAGCAAAAGAGCTCCAATACACTCCTTATTTAAAAAAAGAAAAACAGAAGGCTATTTTAAACTGTTAATTTTACAGCACCTACAAGGCGATGAATATTTATTTAGAAAATATTGCAGACTGAATAAAACTCAATTTTATTTTGTTTTAAGTTTAATTGAAAAAGACATGCAGCCAAAAAAATTGAGAACGAAAATTACAACTGAAGAAAAACTCTTTATTACTTTAAGGTAAGTCAAAATAAATAACATAAAAAATTATACATTTAGTGAATATTTCAATTCATGTGCCACATTGAGATATCTGTGTAGGTATGTTCGTTTGTCGATGGTGTTGAAATTGATGCCTCTATTGGGGAAGATATTGAATAACTGAAGTCAGATACTGAACTTTGTGGACGGATTGCGTCAGAAGGAGTCATTGACATAAGTTCATACTTACTCATAGTGTTAAATATTTCTGTTTTAGCTTTAATCATTAAAATTGGGGGTAACTTTTTGAGTACAGCTTTAATATGTTCTCCAAAGGAATTGATGCCATTTTCATCTCCATTATTATCATTATTTTCTTTATTGCTCAAATTTTTAAAAATCGTTTGTCTTTGGGTATCCCTTTCTTTTAGATAATGTAGGAATTCATCTTCTTTGGTTTGCCGTTTCCGCTTTCGAGTTGGGACTTGTTTCGAAGTATTTTTATTTTGTTGTAAAACTTGTGTTTCGTCCTGAGATTCGTTCACAATCGTCGATTGGGTTTCATTGTCAGCAGTATCTATATCACCACCATCAGCATCGTCATCATTTATATTAATATTGGTTTCGTTCTCATCATTCCCATGGTTGTCGTCATCATCTGAAACAGCAGGTACATTCGACATAGTGTCTTTATGAGATGATGTTTCTAAAAAACTTAGTCTAGCATACACCTCCCATTTAGAATTTTTAGATTTAGCAGCACTTCCTGTCCCTGCATGTCTTTTCCGTTTATATCTGTTGTAGGAGTCTTTAATGCACTTCCATCTTTTTTTACAATCGTCCCCTAAAATGGAAACTAACTTTTATTTTTTTTTTAGATTTATGGCAACTGGAGAAACTTTTGTGTCTTTATCTTTTGCATATCGTATATCTGACTGTTATATTTCAAAGATCGTTAGAGAAGTTTTAAAAGCATTGTGCAAAAACCTTGTATCAGTTGCAATGCCAACATTATCTGAACAGGATTTTTATAGAGTTTCCGCAACATTTTGGAATAAATGGAATGTACCGAACTGTGTAGGAGCAATAGATGGGAAACACATTCGAGTTAAATCGCCAGAAAAAAGTGGTTCATTATATTTTAATTATAAGGAATATTTTTCAATTGTGCTTTTAGCCGTTGTAGATGCGGACTGCAAATTTATTGCAGTTGATATTGGTTCGTACGGAAAAGAAGGAGACAGTAATATATTTAGAAGATCCGCTATATGCCATCGAATAGAATCAAACAATTTTAATATACCTGAAGAAAAATGTCTTCCAGGGACTAATATTTATATACCACATTTTTTAATTGGTGATGAAGCATTTGGAATTGATTCCTACATGATGAAGCCATATCCTCGAAAAACTGCAAAACACGACAATAAAAAAGAAATATATAACTATCGCATTTGCCGCGCTCGCAGAGTTTCGGAAAATGCATTTGGTTTATTAAGCCAAGTTTTCAGAGTCTTTTATACACCCATATCAATTAAACCTGAAACTTGCAACGAGTTGATAATGGCAGCATGCTGCTTACATAACCTTTTACGTAACGAATATTTACAAAACAATAATAGTGGCGGATTTCAGTACAACGAGAAAGAAAATCCACCCAAATTAAATATGGCTCCTTTAAACCATTCTGGCGGGTTCGCTAAGCGAACGGGTTTATGGGTCAGAACTCAGCTTACAGAATACTTTTTAAGCGAACACGGAAAATTGTCCTGGCAAGAGCAACATATCTTCAATAAAAAAGACTAGGAACAGCGTTCCATACCACTCATTTCAGATTTATATTTGTAGAAGGATTTAAAATTTAATTACTTTGTATGTCATGTACCATGTCTATATGTTTATTATAATTCATAATTAAATTGTAAGACAGATAAATTGACAAAAGTTACTTTATAATTATAATATGCATTATGATTTTGCTTTATAAATCATTTAAAATAAAAGTACATACCTGTTCGTTTTAATATTGCTCCTATTTCTTTCCAAATATTTTCCCGCTTTACAATATCTTTGTAACTTTCTAGTTGAAGGTCGTATAAAGTTGGGTTTTGCTCAACTAAATCTATAAGTAGATCATCTTCTTCCCCTGAAAATACTGACGACTTTGATTGCGATGGCGTATTTTTCACTATTTTATCCAAAGAAGCCATTGCTTGATAATAGCACAACAATACTTATTACAACGATTGCTGCAGAACGACTGCCTCCAGACCGGTCTTGACGCTGACGCGCGTCCAAGCAGCAGAGACAGGGCGAGACACTTAATAAGCTAGTTGCTGCTGCAGCGTGCATCGAACGGTAAATCATTAGATTTCATTAGAACAGTAGTGTCTCTGCCTCTTGCCTCTGCCGCCTGCAGCTGCAGCATGTCTCTGCAGCGACTATCGAACGAGTACCTTAAGGGTATTAAAATAAGGTGCCGTTCAATGCATGAGGCAGCAGCCGCTAGTTTAATCAATCTCATTTAATTTTATTAGAATGGTAGTGTCTCTGCATTTTATCTCTCCTTGCAGAGACAATCAAACGGGTACCTCAACTGTCTATAATAGTGATCCACAAAAAGTAAATCAGAACCGCTAAACACATAAATACGAGTCACTTGTCCATTATAGCTACGCTCGGCTGTGAACTAAATTTAAACAGATATTTAAAAAGAATTACATTTTTTTAAGGCCTTCTTTAGAAAAAAAAATTGTGGATTACTCGTTATAAGCTTTAAGAAGATGTAACAGGATATTATATGTATACTATTTCTCTTTTTTAAGCTTTTTTAAGAATCAGCGATTTTTATCTTTTATTTTAAAACTTTTATATAATAAATCTTTACTATTACTACTTAACGATTATTTGTCTACAAATATTTCTACTATTTGCCGCCTCATTTTTAAATTATGGATCTTTACTTATTTTCCATTCATGTGCCAATCTTTTTTTCATTAGTATTTCAAACCCTTTTTTTAACATATCTGATTTAATAATATCTATTTTCGTTTTTTAATTTATTACTCGTCTGCATTACTACCTTTTTGGTATCATAGCTACTTCCTCTTATTATTTTTCTTCATTTTGAGCTTTATAATCTTTCTGATTTTTGTTAAGTTCATTTATTTTTCCTCACTTCCCACAGAAATATTAATTGGTTCTATTGTTTCCTCTATTGACATATCAAGTTTCCAGAATTTCTCTTCTTCTGCTATGACATATCTTATAGCATTTTGCCAATTCTTTTCATCTATCAAAAACAATTACCCAACATATTCACACCTTGCTTATATTATATTTCACTATGCAAGAATTTTTATTGAAACTATTTACTTGGTTTTTTCTTAATAGCTTTACTTAGAATGTCTTCTATGCATTCTCAATCCACCTAAGCTTTTTGTTATTAAATATTTATTAATTATTTAATTTTCGATTTTGATTTTGCAATTTACTAATATGTAGAAATATGTTATTTTAATAAAAAAAATAAAAGTATTTGATTTTAGCGATGAGATTTTGTGCTGGATATTATTGATTACTTATTAATTATTTTTAGGTGGAATATTCAAGGAGTATGATCTAAATCAAAATCGTGAAGTGAATAATGATTATTACTTAAGTACCTTAGAAGTAAGTAGTTATATAGTGTAATAATAATGTGACGTTTATTTATTTAAAAAGTCTCTCGTTTGGTTTATTTTCACCAAGACACTAATTATCAATAAAAGTTTATTTCTACTAACCGCAAAACTAATTTATATATCTGACACTCTAATTTACATTGATCATAATATGTATTTGAACAGAACGATATCTCAACTATAACTAAACTCAAACGGCAAAGCCTATATGCTTATATACAATATGTGTTGCTCCATATTTATTCACGAACATTCTAGATGTTCTCCGACTAAAAATCGATGTTTCAGAGTCTCCGCATGCAGCATATTGAAGAAAAATCAATAACTTTGACTAACGATAACGAGCATAGTTCCAAAGAATGACTAAATGACTAATTTTATCTAATATTCTTGCTAACTGAAAAATCAGTCATCCTCATTTTAACCTACTTTAAACCTGATTTTTTTTGCATTACTTTCGTTGATAAAAATAATATGTATAATTTCTAGGTAAGCTATTATGATGCTTTACAAATGTGCCATGAAAAAGATATGCAACTGGTTAGTATCGAGACTGGCGTGAAGAACAAACAAATTTTTAAATTATTAAACGGTAAGTGCCAAATTATGGAACGTTTTCTAAATTAACAAAAACGCGAAAAAAATTAGTAAAGTTATAAACTATTATGCGGACCTGAAAATTACATAAAAGAATAGTCAAAATTACCTTAAAGCTTAAGCAAGTACCTACATGAAAATTCAAACAACCTTGGATCAAAATGTTTAAGTTTTAGTTTTTTTATACTTCTGACCGATCTACTAAAATTTTGTAGTTTTTTAATAATTTTAAACGTAATAACGTTGATCTAGAGATTACAGGAGCGTACCCACGGGCAGGTCAATTTTAATTTTACACACCCATACCTAATAGTAGATTTCTTTAATTTACATGAATATTTTAAATAAATTTGGGTACCAATTAACAGTGCTGTTCCTAAAATGCCGCTGGGAAACAGTAACAAAGCCTACATAGAACACAATGCTAATAACCGATGACAAAAAAAAAACTTATAGTACAATTTTTATTTCCGACAGGGATAATATAATCTTATATCGTCATAGTTACGCTATCAATAAAGAGGGTCCTAACTTCCTTAAGACATTATATATTCTATAATTCCCTCTACCTTATAATCAACGGTACCTGATTCAAATATACCGGGAAGGTAATAAATTGGTATACTTTTCCGTTTTAAAAATGAACAAAATTTTATTGAAATCTATCAGAAACAAAATTATCTATGTACCACGGGAATTAATGGGCCTTAATATCCTCAGGCAATTACTGTTCCTCGGGCCAGAGGCCCTTGGGACGCAAACTTTGCCATTGGTAATTAAGGCCCTTATAATTCCCTTGATACATAAATAACTATTGTCTCTTGATTTTTTTTCATATTTCGCTTTGTTTGCATAATATCACTAAGATAACTAATGTTTAAAAGCATTCTATTTTTCAGGGCGGAAAATAAACTTGCACAAGCATGCCCCGATGAACAGTATATTTTTCAATATGACGGAGCGCCCTGATGAATAGACACGTCCATTAAATATTAATAGTTTCCAAAATACAGGATGTTTTTTTTATTTTTCAGTACAATTTTACTAAATTTGGTAGACTTTTTGATGTTAATAGATACAACTATCAACGAAAAAATCAGTGAAATAAACGTTGTCAGAGGGGTACAGCATAGATAAATAACACCTTTATCCCCTGTAAATTTTGCGCCACTGTCTAAAAACTTATTTGGTCTATACTTTTACATTTTTTAATGTTTTTCCACTAAATTATGTACTCTTGTTTGGAACTCATTAGTGATTTTTTCGAGATATTCTCACTCAAAGGTGGATTTTCTTCATTTTAATATATTAACCAATTACTTTATGGGTGTCCAAGAAGAGTACATGATTTACTTAAAAAAGATGAAAAAATATAAAATGTAATCCAAATAAGTTTTTGGACCGTCGCGTCGTGTAAAAGTTGATGAAGGTGTTACTTATTCATGCTGTACGCCACTGGCAAAGTATATTTAATTGATTGTTTGTCTGATTGATGTATCTTATGATATCATAAATGTATATCGAGTTAAGTAAAATTATGATACTAAGAAATTAAAAAATATATATTAATTTTTTAATTTTAATCTTTAATACCTTGTATTTCGAAAACCAGTAATATTTGATCCAAGTATGTTTCGATTAATCGTCTTGCTTTTAATAAGAGAATATTTATTTGTTCTGTGTCCCATTCTTAATGAGACCGTGTATGTATGAACAGATTATGGGATAATGTTTCCAAAATAATTATTTTTTCATTTGGTGTACTTGCAATAGTCTATGAAACATTGCAATTTTCGCCAATACCTAATAGTCTAGAATTTACAGTTGAATTTTTATGTAATCTTTTGCACAATAGATAGCAGCACCTTCCGCATATAAATCTATTTGACGTAAAGTCATCTGTAAATCTTATGGATACATTATCTTTAAAGTGAAATATAAAGAGTGATGAAGAAATATCATAATTCTAATTAATGGAGAAAAATTGCAAATTCACTTTTAGGTGAGCCACAATTGGCGCTACTCTTATTTTGACATCTGAGCATTCGCAGATCATTTACGTTCTACGAATGATTTTATTAAAGATAATTCCTGTGTTTAATTTTGGAGATTTAACGTCAGCAAATAGTGGCGACTTTATTAACTTTCGGGTGTGTTAGCCGCATCATCCAAATCTCCTAAAATGGTAACTTCTTATGTCTCTTACTATTATAGACAACAACAAAGATAAACTATAATTTTAATTTTTAAGATAAGGTTAGGAATATTATGTATATAAACTCTAATGAGTCTAACTTCTAAACTTCAAGTTTGCAATAAGTTTTATTTTAGCATTTAATTTATTTTTATCTAGTTACTTTGGCCCTATTAGTGGCTGACGTTATATACATTTGAAATATCTCTCGATTATTGTTCAGAAAATATGGTAATGTGAAAGTAATGCTGGTATTCGCATATTATTACCATCCAAAACCTGAAAAATAAACTACATATTATAATACCTGCAATATTTTTAGGTAGTATTGATGAACCATTTTGGACGTCTGGAAATAGGCTTTCAACAGGAACCTGGATATGGTTGAAAGGAGAATCTTTTGAATTCGAAAATTTCAAAAGAAATAACCATTATGATCCATCGAATAGGCAGTGCAGAGTAGTTAGTAAAATATCGAATGATCTATTTTGGAACATAGAAAATTGTGATAAAACACTTCGTTTCATATGTGAAAAATTAAAGAAAGAAGTCACAAATCCAAAATGTGAAGATTATAGTGAAGATTTGGTACATGGAAATACACTAGTAAATAAGAAATATTATATTGGTAGAGAAATTGTAAGTGCTTTTCTTTTATAATTTTTTATTTAAAAAATATAGATGATTATTTTAAAAACCCAAATTCTAACCACTGATAAGAAAGAGATGGGTTTAAATAAGTTCTGTGGACCTAGCGGTGCACCTCATTTTCAGAGATACAAATTGTGCAATTAAATTATAACTATTAATTATTTTACTTTTCATTATTAGTACTAAAAAGGAAACTAATTTTAGATTACATATTCCAAAGCTCTGCAAGTGTGCAGATCCAAGTGCATGAAATTGGTCAGTATAGAAAACGTAGAAAAAAATCGAGATTTGTTTGAGGCTTTTGTCGATGCAGGTAAGTTAATTTAGAAAATCTGTTTTGTTTTCGACTTCCTCGCTTTTGAAATTTACAATTATTCATGGCTTTTTTTATTCTTTGACATGAAATGGTCTTTAGGACAAAATAAATACTAAGAAAATACCTTAGACCTAATTAAGATGTAGTAAAAATTACAAAACAAGTGTACAAAAGTTGAAAACCCTCAAAATTAAACGACATACATATATATCGGATGTTAAAAAATTTTAATAGAGGAACGTAAATTATTAAATGACTTAGTTATAAGGGTGTTATAGGTTTAAAATCAAAATTAAAAATTTGCGTAAATCAAAAACCACTTTAATTAAGAATGTAATATTTTGACCGAAACTAATTTTTGACAAATAGTTAGTGACCACCTTTTCCCGGTATTTTTTTACGCCACTGGAACAAATCAATTTTTTTTTTAAATTCCTTGTTCGTTTTTATTTAAAAAAGGTAATAACCTTTTATGGAGCTAAACAAAACGGTGTTGTAGAAATTTGCTTCTAAACAAAAGTCTACATTTACTTAAATATTTGTAACGACTTAATATTTCTAAATTTTAATAGGCACTTGTCAAATTTTTATTAGTTCGTGTATTTGATAAGATCTTAAAAGATCATATTTAAAAAGTAAAGTTTAGTATTTTCATTTATTTAAATTTTTATTTTAATTTTAAACACCCAGTATCTCGGGTACTAAGCCTTTTATGGGTTTATCTTCGTATATCAAACTTCATTAATTTACGAGAGCTCTTTGAGCAAGAGCGTTGTTAGTCGAATATACTATCACCCTGTATAAAGAAATTACTTTAACCACTAATGTACAAATTTATTTTGATTTTTTGCTCAACAAACGATCGGATTTTTTTTGTTAAAAGTTATTGTTTATACATAATAAAATTTTATTAGAACACGCTCACATCTTAAACGAGCGTAAAAAAAGTGTGAGTTAATATAATGGTCGCCCGTGTCTCAGTCGAGCGCGTACAAAATTGTCAGTAAGCCGCGCTAATCTCTGACACGGGAATGTACGTTAAGTGGTTAAAATAAGAAAAACTTATCCATGTAAAAACTAAAACACCCAATAATAACGTAAGGCGAGAAGCAGAATATTTGAATTGTTTGCTATTTAATACATTGTATATTCGACGGAGGATGTTCTACCTCAGAGAGCCCACGTTAATTAATATATTTTGATGCAGAAACATAAACCCTTAATGGGCTTACTTGCCGAGATACATAAATTAAAAACGCATTTTAATATTTTATTTTTTTATTTGGGTCAATCACGAACTTATCAAATACACGAAAACAATAAAACCCTCACTATTCTTATAAATAAAATATTCCCATATTTGACAAGTACCTATTAAATTAGTATTTTTAAATATGAGTTTTTACAAATTACAAAGTACTTGCAGTCTTTTGTTTAGAAGCAAATTTCTACGAAACTGTCAAGTAATAAATCCAATGGAAATACTAACACCCCTATGCATAGTCGATCGCCAGCGATCCTCTGGCGAAAGCCCGAAAAGTTGGCGATTTGCTGGAGATTGTCACCGGCATCTTTCGCATGTTATTCATGATTCATTTCATAAAACTCAAAAAACAATGAAAGGATATCAAATTTTTCCCCATAAAAGAACATGAAAACTAATTTTTGCCTATAAAGTAACATGAAAACTTGCGAGAGATGACATGCCGGTGACAATTTCCAGCAAGTCGCCAGCGATTCGCCAGAGCTTTATCTTGGCGGTATCAGCAGCGATCCGCTGGAAAATTGCTGGCGATCGACTATGCATATGGCTGCAAATTACTGAGGCCCTTCCTAAGGGGCCTCAGTATTGCATTCGTGCAGACGAAAAAATTTTCTGACCCTCATTTTTTAAAACTTTTTTTCATGTTTCTGATCATTCGGAATCCGAAAATCCAAAAAATTTTCGTCTGGTCGTCTGTATGTATGCCGGCACGATAACTCTAGGACGAAAGTTCTGAATGACTTGCGGTTTTGATTTTCTTGAATAATTACTTCTAACTTAAAACCCTATTGATTTTCAGAATTTTCGGTTCATCCTAGCTACTTTAATAACAATTTTCTTAAAATCCACCTATGCATTCCTTATGGGAAATTTTAGGAATTCCAATTATTTCTAAAGTCAAAATTCCTAACATTCTTTATATTCCATAAATTGCAAACATTCTCTAACGACCTGTCAAACAACAGCTGTTGATAGTAAAGGTGAAATTTCTAGGGCGGGTTGCGACCTTCATACTTGCAACCATATAGCCATTTTGAAGGCTGTTTTCATTTAAAATTAGTCGCCAAGCCTGCCAATTTATGAAAAATATATAAGCAGCTTCTTAAAAATGACTATGACTTTTTATGGTGGTGCTATTAGGTGTACTACTATTTCGTCCTTAGCCACAAAAACACCTTCATCAAATTTACTGGTTCTCTGTCGCAACTCCATATAATAATTAACCGGCTATTTTGTTTGGCAAAAATCAAAATAATGCTTGGCTGTGCCTGTTAAGTATCAAGATGTCAACTGTGATATGGTGAATGGCTCTTAAATGTCAAATTATTTAAAAATGTATACTTCATTTGATATTTATTGCAAATAATAAATATCTCAATTCAGGTTTTCCATAAATAAAGGTACAGCATGACAGATAATATAATGTTCTTATACAAAGAACTTTTTTATTATACCGGGTGTTCAAATTAAAGTGTTACAGTTAAATAAGGCCGAAAATATGCATTTTAGAAAAAAGTTTCAGACAAAAGTTTTATAGTTTTTTGGGGGAAACGTTTTGACTAAATTCATTTTTTTATAGCTGACCATAATATCGAGGTGAACTTTGTTTGTTTAAATGGGAATCCCATTTTTTTCTTACATATTCTTAAAGTATATAAAAAAATAAGAAACTTTTAAGGGAAATATTTTTTTTATTGGACTTTTACTTTTTGAGTAACAGCTACTTGAAAATGTTGCTGCGCGAGAAAAAAGTTCGCCATATTATGGTTAGCTATTAAAAATGATTTTAGCCAAAAGTTTTTCCCTACAAAACTATAAAACTTTCGTCTGAAACATTTTTTTTTTTTTTTTTTTTTATAAAAAGCGGTATATAGCTGTAACGCTTTAATTTAGAACACCTGGTATAAAAGAGAGGTAGAATATAATGCCCATTTCAAATTTGGATCATTTCGTCGCCCTTATCACGAAGTGGCATAAGTAGCAAATAGTAAATTTTACAGGAAAGCAATAAAACGAAAATACGTAATTCTCAGGTCGGCCTTGTATTATTGTTTGTTAATTCCAGATTAGCCAAGCTCATTCAGGGTTTTTTTGAACAGTTCGTGAGGAAAATATTCTGCGTTATTTCAGATAGGATACAGAAGTAATATGCTGTATTGCATGCACTATTAAGGTTGTAGATGTGTTACTTCATAAGATGATAAAGTAGGTCAAGACTAGTTAATCCGCACAACATTTTTTTTTTTTAATTTTTGTTGGTTAGGCCACTTCGTGATAAGGGCGACGATTTATGATACCGAGGTATTTTGTTGTGTTTTTCATTTTAATTATAAAGTGGTCATTTGTATGTTGAAAGAAGGCCTTTGTAAATTACATTGCTCTTTATGGATTTACTTTAACACAAAAATAGTTTTGTGGCTATAAGTTGCTATAACCTATCTTTGCAAAACTATTAATAATTTAAACATAGTAAGTGTTATTAATATAACATCAAGTAATTTTTTAAAATAAAGTACATGATCTCAAAATAAATAATCTATAATAAATGCGGATAAAACGAAGGATAAAATAACAATAAATTAAGGGAAATACTTAAAAAGGGCAGGTTTAAAAAGTATTATCACAAGAAAGTATATCCGTTGTTTATTTATCAAGTTTTGTTTAAGATTACTTTTGAATATATTTATTTATATTGAATTTTTTCTAATATATCTGATGCGATAATACTATGTCATTTTTATTTTATAAATTAATATCAGTCATGTACTGAACATAATTCTGAAGTGAAAGCCAGTTTATTTCTTTTAACATAGTTGCACTACTCATCCTTTTGTCCTTTATTAATAGAATATAAATAGGCGAAGTAAGAAGCCCAAATATTTTACATGAGCAGGCTTAAGAGGTAAAGGGGCCAATTATTAGTGGATAAATTGCTCGAACAAGTTTGTAAACCCTAATCAAAAGGCGATATAGAATAGTTTTAAAAATCTAGGCTTGTTAAAATTATCACATGGTTTAACCTAAGTAATGCCAATGCTTCACAAACCAAAAAATTCAACGTGTTAATACTACTATCGGCTTTCGGTATTTCGTTCCAAGTTAAATCATTTCTCGTTTTTGTTACGCTACGAGTTTACCCTTGTGGGCCTCAGTCTCGATAAAGCGGAAACCACCATTTTAGCGTCTCTCGAATTGTAATTATAATTGACATAAAAAATTTATCAAAGTGACATTTATAAACTACTATACAAAATAAAAATAATACACACTTACAAGTAAATAATAAATTTTTTACATTTTCCATCTAGTAAAGGATTTTTATTAGGGTTTGTTCAAGAAACTGGAAGGAAACAATTCGCTTAGTGTGACTTTTGTGTTGACAAACTTTGCAACTGCAATTACACCGTTTTTTCCTAAGTATGCCTTTTTTGTTCTTCCTAGAAGCCATTTATTCCTTGGTGATTTTTATCAACTATAACTATTTAAGTTCTTGATCGGTGTGCCCTTTTGATGCCTTTTGTGACGATAATTAAGACTTCCTCTATATTCTTGAACCCAACATTTCCAATATAGATCCGCTAGAGCTTGAATGAATATCCACTGTTTTTTAGTGACTAGAATATTTTGACCGGATGATCTTACACTACCAGGTCTTAGCAATAATAAATGGTTACGAGTATTTGCTTGAGGGTCAATAGGATCGACTAAAATATGGATTAAGGGTCGCAAAGGT